TTTACTGTGATATAGACAGATTAAAAAAAAATCTAATTTAAACAACTGGTCACAATGGACTGAATTTGTTTGGCTGGTATCCAGGCAAAACAAGTTTGCTTGGATACCAATTTTAACTAATGTGTTGCTAAATTTCATTGTCAAAAATATTAAGATCTTTAGCTTCAAATGCTTGTCAGCGTCCTTTTTTTTTTGACCCCGGCTAACATGTCATGTATAAGAAAATAATCTGGTGCTTTAGCACAACACTACACTAGTCAGCAAGACAATATTGTGAAAGAAATAACATTGTCCATCTGTGGATATTTTCCCCTGATGGGACAGGCATTAGTGAGGATAAAAAAAAAATAGCAATAGATAAAAAACTAATTCTAAACTGCATTGTTAGGTGGATTTGCGTTTTATGGTAGCAGCTGCTAAAAGAAAATATTAAGGTCTGAGTTTGTGATACGAGTGTCAAGATTTTAGAATCATCTAAAATCTTGAGACTTGAGGCTACTCCGTGCTTTGTTCTTGCTCAGATGAGTCTGTTTTTCTTCCTTCCATTACTATCAGCCAGCTTACCTAGCTTTAATATACTAGAGATAAAACAATTGCAGACTGTTAATTACAACCACTGCATTAGTACAATATTGTGAGAATATTAATATAAAAAAATCAACAGGAAAGAATGGAAATATTGTCCCTAAATGGGGAACTTCAGGTGCATCTGCAGCAAGTTGAAGGTAAAAAAAGGGCCTATTTAATCTAAAATAAAAAACATGAAAACAAAAACAGAAGTAAGAGACTAAGGGCAAATGCATAACACATAATACTAAGCCATATATTTGTGGAGAGCTTTTCCCTTCAAAATAGTTTCTTCCAGTGTTTGTGCTTCCTCTTTTGTAATTTTTAAACACCTCATTGATTCTGAAAATGGCTCCCTTTGAGTCCTTCTCTCTCAATAACTTCCAGACAGTGGAGACCACCATTTAAACTGTCAGATCATTGTTAGAACAACCTGGTAGGGCTCTGTATCAGATCGCCCACCAACTGAAAAACATTTGAGATTTTTAAGTTTCCAACAAGTCAGGCATCTCAATCTGATCCAAGTGCTGGTACCTTTGCACCAAGGCCACTGAAATAACATGCAGAGTTACATAATGAATGCTCCTTTAAATATCCACCAATTTCATTTAGGTCAGAATAAAAAAAAAAAAAAAAAACTACTCAAAGTTGACTTAATTTTCTTCACAAAAATCTTGGATTCAAAAATGGTCATGCAATCTGTGGCACAAAGCTAGCGCCTCTTGCTACCTGCACAATGTCAGCACAAAACCACTGCTATGACCCAGCAGGTTCTGCAGTCACTACTTGAAGAAAAGCACTGTTTCAGTGCTGAGCTGAGCTTTTTTTTGTGTAATCCGAGTGAATCATCAAGGAGAAACAGTGACAGCTTCACAAGGACACTTTTTTTTATACCAAGAGGCGTAACCAATGTGTGAAAGTGGTTATTGATTGAGTGAATGGTTGTCACCATGAGTTTCAAACTAACTATTGCCCACTGGGCTGAGAGTGTGAGGGTGTTTTCACACCTGATAGTCCAGTACACTCAATTCGATTGGGAACCAAAATTGTAACATTTGTTAAATCTTCAGCTGGTGTAGTTTACTTTCACGCTACACTGTGTCAAACCAACCAGGCCCTTTGAAAAACCTTTTCATCCCCTTGCCTGTGGTGGCGCTGCACCAAAAAACAACATTAAATTCCCCGAAGAAGACACCGAGCGCAACTCCCTTCTTCACGAAATGTCAATCAAATTTACTTCATCTTAAATGTTTGAACCTTAATCTACTTTACTTATCAGGAGCTACAGATTTGCAGGGAATCCATCTCTGCTAGTTTTTTATTTTTAATTTTTTTTTTTATCTTGTGTCCACCTTTTTTTCTGTCCTGCAACAGGCAGGATTGCAAATCCACATGCTTGCAATAAAGAGCAGCTACATACTTCACTTTTGATAATATAAATTCCCAAGAGTCCCAAGCCTCTGTGAAAGATAAATTACATCTTGGTTACAATAATTCCTTTTATACAAAATGAAACTGACCTTGACCGATTCAGAAAAGTTGAAACTGCTCCTTTAAGACAATCTCTGTCTCTGAATTAAATATCAGCAGGTCAAAGACATTGCTTGGTGAAGCTTTAACAGAGCCACTATTTAGGTCAAGCCTGTAATGGGGCAGATAACCTAAAAACTGGCCAGTTTATTAACCTTTTGAATTCAGGGAGCTGAGCTTGAAAAATGTCAATGCTCTATTGACTGAATCAGAGTCGTCTTGGTGTGTACTTTAAAGGTGCTTTTTAGCTGAACTCGCAGCATCTAGTGCTGCGCAAAATTACTGACACCCTTTTGAACCTTTTCACAGACTGATATAGTTTACTGGAATTGCATGTGACGGATCACCACTAAGAAAGGCAAAATTGTCAAACGAAATCAAAATGATACATGGTATAAAAACAATGTGTAAATTTATGAATAGTGTCACTTTATTAGCAAATCACTTTATTTGTAAATTTGTCCGTAAGTTCAGCATCTAGCTTTTTGTTGAAGCTCTCAGACCAAGCAGCACATAGCATGTCCTAGGGATTCAAATGTAGAGAAGCTTAAAGCATTATTTTCCACCATTACTTTCTTATTTTATAAGACAAATCTATCAACACATGGCTGCCTATTTAAACTGACAAGCTGGAAAAGGAGAGAATTAATCAGAGAAGCAAATTACAGTCCGATGGTAACTCTGGAAGAGCGGGAGAGAATCAAAAGGAAAGCCAAAGTTTACAGAAAACCATCAGACGTCGTGTTTGAAGATTGCCACAAGCCATGAGAGCAACGTGTGCAACCTTATGTATCTTTGTTCCACATGTAAAACAAAGATACTGAACAAAAAACTCATACTGAACATCAACCCTGAAGACACTTCATTTTTCATATCATAACTGTTGTGTGTTGGTCTGTCACAAAAAAAATATAAATAAATAAAAAATCCTCAGTAAAATAGTTGGTCTGGTGTAAGTTGCCAACTCTGAGTTAAGGTGTTTGATTACACAAAAGAATGGTTAAGCAGGGAAAGTGAAATGAAATCCAAGGTAAAAGCTGATTTGGAATAATAAACAGAGCCCGAGTGTGTGAGCTTATTGCCAAATGGTGAGCTTGACCTTTTGATCAGACGGGGAGTCGTTTGTGCAAGGAGCAGTAACTAAAGCGGCTTGCAGCACAAGACATGAGACCAGACCACAAGATGACAAAAGACTGGCAGCAAGGAGGGAGTTTTCCCTCAGCGAGCCTGAACATTTTGTAGAAGGCAAGAAAAAGCCTTTCAGGCACCACTGTTTTGCTTTTAAATCATCTTTCAACGAAAATGCTCAAGAATGTTAATTATTCATATGATACCTACTACTCAGAGGCTGCTTTGTAAGTAGAAATAAATTATAGACAAGTGACTGATCTCTGACTGCTCCTCTTTAAGCTACCGTGTGGGATCCTCTTGTCGACCAGGTAACAGTTCGGGACTGTTCTTATTAGCTGTAATTAACCAAAGGTGATGTTGTACTGCTGACCTTTTCAAACAGACCCCCCCACATCCCACTCTGGGGTCTGTACAACCAATTAGCCACCACAGGCTTTCAGAACAGTGGATGAAAGCAGAACACTTGAACAGAGCTCACATAAAACCTGCTCAATCTGATTTGGAAAAAAAAGAGTCCCCCTGCTCTCTTTCCAGGTCTAAATAAACAGCACAAAGACATATGTTTTAGATTTTCTTTTTATACTCGTTTAATAAAAACAAGTGGGAGCAGAGACAAATTATCCTCTTGTGCCCTTTTAAAAATGCTGAATATTTCCCCCCTCTATTTGTGTTAGGCAAAGTAAATACACACTTGATTGATAGAGGAAGCTGAAAACAATATCCTCCCAGTTAATACGAAATTATTGTGCTCATACTCCAGCTGAATTGTTTTGCCCCTGGGGACTACTAGACTGTAACCTGAAACCGGGCAATAAAGAAGACTGGAGTCCCTGCACAAACAGCTGACTCAGCCACCTGGAAGCCAAATGTCTTTGGTTTTCTCATTCCAGTAGTGCTCCACCCTGATCCAAAACAACATGGATTTGTAACACGTTTACAGGGCTTAAACAACACAAACAACATGAAGTAGCATGAAGCCCAAGGAGGAGAAAGGGACATGTGGAGACTATTTTACATAGCAGATTGGTAAAAACCATCAGCCAAGAGAGGCAGGGAAAACCATACTAATATTACCAGAGAGGGCAATACTGCCAGGTCTGTGTGACTGTATTTTCAAAGAATCTTAATTACATGTCACTCCCTTAAAACACTCTGAGATAATCCCTATTTGTGGCAGCAAACAACCTATTAGATGGGAGATGTAGAGATGAAAGAGCTACGGGACACGTCTGTGTCGTCACAGTCCAACCGCATTTTCAATGACGCAAAAAGAAACTTCTGTGATCCGACATCAGTACTGTTGCTAAAAAAATGATTAGATAATAAAGTTAAAAAGCGGTTTCATTAGCAAAGTCATCAAATCTCCCATCAGTCAAACCAACAAGAAAGAAAAGCCTTTTAAATGTGAGAAACTTAATATCTTAGACATTAATACCTGCTTTTTGCTTTGAAAATAAGTATTGTATAAGAAACTGACTTTGGTCAGTGGTGTTTAAACTTATTAATCTGTGACAAGTTTAGAGATGTGGGGCAATCCAATATTAACTATGGGATCGAAGTGGAAGCAAAAGTTTGCTGCACAATGAAGTAATAAACTATACAAAGAAATCTCATACACTGGATATAAACAGACATTTTAAATATGTCAGTATATTTGCAAAGCAACTGGTGGTTTTACTTTTTTTTATATATATATATATTATGTATTTTTCTGTGCAGATTTACTGTCAACATGACTGTGAAAAGCAGCTTCTCCACTCATGCTGACCAACCTGTGACGAGCTCCCGCACTTCGGCATCGACCGTCTTCCTCAGCAGGCGGAGCAGAGCGGGGATCCCTCCTGCGTTCCTGACAGCGATCTTGTTTTCATCCATAGCTTTCCCATAAACAAGGTTCCTCAAAGCCCCACACGAGTTTCTTTGGACCTCGACGGTTTTATGGTCGAGCAGGTCCACCAGGTGTTTAATTCCTCCCAGTCGACACACCTGGTGGTAGGGTGAATAAGGTCATGCGTGAATTTCACTCAGGAAGGGATTTAACTTTTTTTCCCTCCCTTGTTCAGTTGTTTTTTTAGGGGAGAACAAAAAGCATGAATTTATTCATGCGACAAGAGATTCAGCAGCACGGATTTTATTCATACCAAACCCAAATTATCTGGAAAAGTAATGCTGGTTGGAATTAAAGCTTTAACCACAGGAGATTACAGATGGAAAAAAACCCCCCAAAAAAACAAAACAGCCATTTCTTCTGCGCACAGAGTGAAGTGAATAAAACAAAGTGTACGAAAACAAAGCTAGAGCTTTAAATTGAATAGCATGAATTATTCAGTAATATATAGAGATTTGACATTTCAGTACACAAAATATAGCATTTATACTGAATACATTATGTGCATTCTACAAAAGTCAAGGTTTTCATAAGATACATCATACAAAATAAACAAAACAGAAAGGGCTTTACACGCCAATAAAAATAGTCTAAAAATTAAGAATATTTGTGAGTTTGTTCTGTTTTTGTGGGAACAGAGAAAAAAATTGTTGGAAAAACTCAATTCCCGTCAAACTGTTTAGAAATGGTTGAGTTGATAAACTCAGACAGTGAATTAAATAGTAATAAAATATAAGTCTAAAAGGTTTATGACTGAAATTGGTGTCATGTTCACAGTTTTTACAGTATAAAGTTTAGTTTGAAGATTGCCTTAACAAAAGGTTAAAGGTTTAAATGTTAGCAGGAAAACTAAAATTTCAGAAAACAAAATACTAATAATACTCAATATATGTTTTTCATTTAATCAATTTAATTTATCAATTAAGAACAAATAAAAACTTAGCTTGGACTAAGGCAAAGCTCATTTGACTTAGTCTTCTCTTTGTATGAGAATTACCAAATGTTGAACTTTGCATTGATGCATCATGCGATTTATTGCCCTAAAAGAGTCTTATATGAAGTCAATCGAAGCTAATCAAAACCCTGAAGCTTGAAAAATGAACCTTGTTAACATAAATAGGGCATTGCCTTTAAATATACAATTTGCAATGACTATATTAAAATAAGTTAACATAATGTAAATAGTTTTAACAGTTATCAGAGGTTAGGATGAATTAACTGGAATAAGACACTGTACAGCATCAGTCGAACGCCACCCACCTCACTCTTGACTCTATTATCACCGAAGCACAGGTGCTGCAGGTAGGCGGCTGCATTGGCCTGCACTGAGGGGAAATGGTGCTGCAGCATGTGGATTACCTCTGTCAGCTCCGGGTCACGCCAAGCAAACTCTCTGAAAGTGCAGGTGGGGTAGAAACATATCAGCATGACGACAGGTGCAAAGGAAATGAGGAAAAACATCAACACAACTCTGCGTCTTCTCTCTTTTTCAAGAGTGCCAGGAAAAGCGGATTGTTTATGTGTACGAGAGTCCAATTTTGTATAAACTATTGTGCTTGGATAATCAGAGTTTTAAAAACTCTGTACGGTTTATATAAATTTATTTATGTTTTCCTTCAATTAGACTTAGAGCATATCAAAATATAAGAAAAGCTCAATATTCCAAGGATATAGTCAAAAGGTTTATTTCAGGTAACTATATGACTGACCGTGTGTCATGGCAATCAACACGTTTAACGCCATTGAAAAACATTTCCATATGCAAGGCACTTCATTAGGACATCAGACACGCAAAAAAGTGATTTGTTTCACGAAGCAGCACACTGTAACTATATTTTCAAATTTACTGGTATTTATTGATGCTTCTATTGAACAAACAGTGGAGAAAACATTAAAAGTAACAATCTCAACAGTAAGGACAGTTTTGGGGGAGTTTAATCATCACTAGATGAAATTTATCATGACAACAATAAATCAAAATTGTTATCATGATAAATTTATCACGATAAAAGATAAGTGATGCGATAAATGCCCCGCCATATACATTGCTCCAAGAAAATTCATCAAACACAAAGGTTTATACTAATGAATTTACCCTTTTATTTAATTACAGGCAATCCCTCACAAAATGAGAGTTAGTACCATCTACGCACTCAAACACAAAGTGTTACAGTTGTAGCACAGATGGCTTTACACCACTTGGGGTACGCAGTAGATCTCTGGATAGTAAACATGAACTTTTCTTTTTCTAAAGCTTAATCTGAAAATATATTCGAGGGCAGAAATTCTAGACCAAATTCCAGTCTGGTGAACTTCCTGAGCAGCCACTCCTGGGTTGCTCTACTTTTAAATAGTTACAGCACACTGTAAATGTAAACAAAGCCTCTAATGTGCAGGGTCAGGGTTTTACCACAAGTTGTCAATCCACGCTCTACACATCCACACATCTGTACAAGAGCAGACGCAGCACTTCAACGCCTGTGAGAATCTATTGTGAGGCGACCAGGCACAGTTGAGCCAGCTTAATGGGTAAAGCCATGTGTGGCTATCCAGGGGGAGAGGTCTGTGTTTGAATAGTAAGAGGACACCGGTGTTGACCCAGCAGAACAGGGATGCCTTGTAAGCACAACTAGCCCCTTTGGATGACTTTTATGTGGTAAAGTACTAACCACAGAGTAAATCCAGTGAAAACGAAAACATGACTTGACACTGGGAATGTGACTGTGCTTACCTGGGATCTTTCTGAATGCTGTCTATGGAGGGCGAGCGGGGGGCGCCGTCGTCCATGACGATAGTCTGCCGGGCGTAGTTCGGATCAGAGGGCCGGTACTGTGCAGAGTGGTACGGATCGGCATAGTTAGCTGTGGTGTTAAGAGCATAGTTGTTTCTTTGGTAAGTCATGGCACTGCGCTGGCTGGATGTCCTCTGCAGGCTTCCCACACCTGAACAGCAAAAACATAAATGGAAATTAAACACACACACAAGACAACAAAGCAATGCAAGACTGGAGTTCTGACCTTTTCAGCTAAACTGAGAGCTTTGTACTCCTGTTAGCTTAGAGGTTTTTACACAAAGCTGAAAATACAAACATGCTGCTGCTCTTACAGACTCTGCAAATTCTCAAATGTGGACCCAATTAATGGTGGGGATAAAATACAGCTCCCATGGTTGCAGAAAGTAGATCCATTCTCCTTCAAAGGCTTTCTTTTTTACGTTTACTAGGTTGTACGTAGCTCCAGGGGTCCCGTCTGTGTTCAGAGAGCACTTAAGGACCCAACCTGCTTGATAATCCACAAATTCTTTCTTCCCAGCCTTCTTGATCCGTCCCGTTCTTACTTTCTTGTACTAATTCAGCTAAAAAGACACGTGTAAAAGCTGACCAGCTTCACAAAAAAAAGAAAGAAAAAAAACTGGATTAAAATGACAAAAAACGAACCATCAAGACTAAAAAGAGAAGTCGCATCTTCTTTTAGTCATCTGCCTTCTATTCATTTGCTCCATGTGATATTATAGCATTACGACCCATTTTTTAAACTGCATAAACAGGCTGGTAAGACTTAGCCACGTGATCTGTGACAGCATGCCTGCTGCGCTGGTCAGATCTGTATCAGCAAACCTGAAAGAACTGGGCACGAGTGCCCAAACTCCCCCCTACCAGGAACCAAGACGTCAACTTGTGGTTGTACTCCAAAAACATAATTTTTCGCATCGGTACACTTCTGTGTTCGGCAGTGACTCAAGCCTGCAAAGTGTCCACCTCCCAAACTAAAAACCCCACAGGGATGCAGGGAGAGGAATTCAATGCAACATAGTGAAGCTTTTTTTTTTTTTTGAAATATTTTTGTCAGTACAACAAATGTATCTCAATAAAGCAGACTGAAAATTATTTCAGAAACTAAGTTAATAAAAATGCATATTATATACATCATATAATACAGATTTATTAGACACTGAGTAGTTGGAATCCGATGTTTACATGGTATGAAAAGGCACAAGCTTGCACAAATTAATTTAATTTGACTGATGTCAAATGAAATTAAACATTTGCTGTTTTGGAATTATCTAAATCTTTCTACTTGCTAAATATCAGAATAATGAGATAATCTTTTATTACGTTCTTCAAAATCAGATATTTCCACATTTTAGGATTATCATGTCTTTAAACGATTTGAGAAAAATCAGATGACGATGGCTATGTAAGCTGTTCGGGGATAAATCTAGTACACATGTTGATGTACTTTAAGGCAACACCTCAAACACACTTGTGTGACAGCTTGAAAAAATCTAAAGATGTCATGAAGAGAAATGACGGACCTCTACAAGCCTAGTTTTTCATTGGGTACAATTTCCGGACACCTGCAGGTGCAATGTTGATCTGTTCAAATAATCGTATGCAATAGGGAGCATCGGACTCCCTATTGCATGTTAAGTCATTCATTCTGAAAAGCTTGTCCAAACCGTTAGAGCAAAGTCATCCAGTTCAAAAAGGAAGTTCTATAAATGCTGAAACATTTTTTGCTAATTGTTTCAGACTTCAGAGAAAACAAAAACAAAAACAAAACAAAAAAAAACCCAACTTGGTTGAAATGACTTCAGTGAGAAGCTTCTAGGAATGTTTTGTGTAACTGACATGTTGCAGGATGCAGTTATTGCTTTTTATTATGATNTATTTTTTACCCTCGTCATCACTTGTTTTAGCCCCAGCTAAAAAAATTATCATGCTTTTTAACCATGTTTTGATTAAATTAATAATTTAAAAACTTTTTCTTTTTTTTTTTACAAACTTTTTACTCTATACATAAATTCACATCTGGTCATGTTAGCAACTTTTTTCTTATCCTGTGATTATTAGCAGGATTCCTTCCTATAAATAACCTGTTTAGTCCATGTTTCTCGTATGTTTTTAGGATTTTTCTGACTGTTATCTCCTTCACACTGTGCAGATGGATTTACATACACAATATGTGTGTGTCAACACATTTAACACCTCCACACATTTGCATGCCTGTGCACACCCACACATTACTTATGTGAACCCTCTGTTGCTTATATTTATAAATGAAAACCTAAAACTGTCACTGCTACATCACAGCTGCCCAAATTGTTTTTATTCCCAATCTTGCTGCTTTAAAAATTTGTCTGCATTTGATTTTTAAATCGGAACAAAATGTATAAGTCATGGAAATGGTTTTGACAGCAGCCTGTTGAACTGGAACCAGCAGGAAGGCAGTAAAGAGGAGTTACCAAGTGGTTTTCTAAAGCAGCTTCCTTGAAATATTTTTGCTTTTTCTGATAGTTTTGGTGCTTAAAACTATAGTTCAGAGCATGAACGTTCCAAAAATATATTTCAATAGAAAATCCGTGCTTCTGGGTATTCTTCATCCTATTGGGATTTCTGGGAGAAGCATCAATGTATATGATGCTTCTCCCATATTTTTTAGTATGAAAAATAATAAAATTGATCATAGTCAAAACTTTGACAAACAACCCATATTCTTGGTATGTGTAGAATATACATCAATAGGCATATTTCGGCTGAATATATAACTTTGAAGGTCATAAAAACACAATTTTGCAACTGTTTTGTTTCCATTAAGTAAGAAATGCAACTAATATCTCATGTAAATAAATTTGTTCCCACGATGGGTCATTAAAAAACTCCATCATTGGAGAATGATGGACTTCCTGAAGACGACATTATTTGGCTCATATAGTAATAAACTGTTGGATTCTTGTGCATTTTAAATTCAGATGTTTAAGTTTGCTCCCATATTTTCTTGTAAATGTTTCAAACATTTTACTTAGACTAAATAAATAAACCTAAAGCCCTAATTTTAGTTCTTATGGCAGGTTTGGCTCCATCTGTTTCAATAGGAAACCCTCATTGGAGTTGCACCCTGTGGGAATGTCCTGTAAAATTAGCTTTACTGGAGTAAATCCAGCTGGGAATCTGCTGCCACTCTGGGAACTTACAACAAGGCAGAAAGCGTGGGGATAAAAATACACGGCCCTCTGACCCGGCGGTACCTGGGGAACGGGACGAGCTGTGATGAAGGGAAAAGGACGCCTGATTCTCTGTTGACCCGGTCCGTGTTTCTGGGAAATGGATGGTGGCACTAAAATAAAGCAGCTCCAAATTACAAAAGGAAAGCATCCAGAAACCTGATTTCCACACAATCTGTGTTTTATTCTCCCCATTGTTTAACTATTACAGCCAAAGTAGAGACGGGAAACTGCTTTCCTGCAGTTTTATTCTCATTATCTGACAAAATGTTTCTGGTTATTTTTGGAAATAAACTTAACCAGACTTTGCTTTTCCTAAACTGATAACTTGGTTTCTTAGTGTTGATGATAAAAGCTGCTAAATATTAATTTATTTAAACCGTTATGCAGTGTTTCATTCAAGACCACCTAACCCGAGACCAAGACAAGACCAAGACTGAGGGAAGTCGAGACCGAGTCAAGACCAAGACCAGCTACAGCTACATG